GAAACTTCATCTACAAGTAATAAGTCGACACCACCACATGAAGTGCATGTAGGATGGATTGACCCAAAATAGCATTATAGGAGGACGGGGTGGCCACCACCAGAAAGGTGTGATCAAACTGGACGATGTTGGGCTCCATTCCTACTATGATTGGAACCTTGATCCTACCGAGGGGCTTCACTACATCTTCGTTGAAGCTGACGAGAGGCATGTATGTCAGTTGTCCGCCAAACTCCATGAGTCAACCAGAATTTGCTTTACCTCGAAGTCATTTATTATCATTTTAACAATGAGGGCGTCGTCATGCAGATACTAGATCCCACAAGTGTCGTCCTCAATGAAGTAGATGACTTCCTCCACCCGAGGGCGCTTCAACGGGTTCTCATCTTCACGTTCAAGCTCCTGGACTGCATTCTTCCCTGTCGTCGTGCTGCAACCTGCTACTATTGATACTCCTGTGATCATGTTAATCACCCCGCTGATCGGTCTTTCTGGTGCTTGTGGATCCCGAGGTGGCTGGTTGCAGTCCTGTCACCTGTTTGACTCTGGTGCATCCCTATGTTGTTTAGTAGGCCGGGTGTCCCTGTCGTCGTGCTTTATGAATTGTCTAATGTAGCTGCAACGAATCAGCTCCTCAATTTCATCCTTCAGGTTCTGACAGCTTTTAGTATCATGATCGATGTCACAGTGGAAGTGACAATATTAGTTCAGGTTGTAGTTGACGAGGTCTCCTCTCATCCTAGGCGGCCACTTGATGTACTCGGTCGTCTTGATCTACATCAAAATCTCACCCCGCTTTGTGTTTAGGGCGGTGTAACCACAGTTTTGGACTAGTGGGGTTCTGGATCACCAGCCTGACCTAGAACCCCAACATGGTGGCTTGCTTTTTCTTGGCAATCTGCTTTACCTATTGCGAGGTGACCGACTTCTTTTCAGCAGATTATTTCTTTGTCATTGTTGCTTGTTGTTGCTTGCTTTCTCTTCCCGACGTACTGCAGCACTAATCGGGATCTCAAAGCCTCCTCCACCTTCGTGAACTTGTCAGCTTCAATGAGGAACACCTCCATGGAAGTTAGAGGGTTCAATTCAAGCTGCCAACGCAGATCAAGTTGGCAGGCTCCCTTTACCGCCACGACGAGCTGCACGGACGGGTCGAGGTTTGGGACTTAGAGCCTCTCAAGGTTAAATATCTTAATGTAGTCTTTGAGAGGTTCATATGCTCATTGGACTACATTCAGTAGGCTGGTCGCGGACTACGGACACCTCTTGCTCGTGGCAAAGTGTGTAGTGAATAGCTCTGCGAACTGGTTCCAATTTTTTATGGAGTCGAGGGCAGTCCCCGGTACCACAATCGTGTTGTACCTCTAAAAGTCGTCAAAAACTCCATGCAAAGGCAGGCATCATCTGCTCCATGGAGCTGCATCATGGAATGAAAACTGTCGCAGTGGTCGATTGGATCATTCATCGCATCGTACGTCTCCAGGTTCGGTGCCTTGAAATTCTTTGACCATGGAGCTGTGAAAATCTCTGGTGCTAACTGGCAGTGAGGTCGGCTGCACAGCAGCTGAGCTGACCTCACCTTTCTTCTCCTTCTCGATCTCCATAGTGTTAGTGGGGGCAATGCTACTCTTTCCGGTGTCACGACATGCGCGTCTGCGGTGTCTCTTCTTCAATACCTCGGTTGTGTTGTTTGCCTCTATATTAGTCAGTGTCGCGACCTTGGTGTTTTCCTCCATAGGGTCCTGGTTCCAGTTGTCGAGATGATAAGATGGGTTTGGAACCGGGTCCCAATTTCTCACGCCAAGCTATTGGTCATTCTGGTGATGGTGATTCTAGTCGTTCTACTAACGGCGGTTATGGTTGTTCTGATGGCTCTGCTGCTGATGATAGTTATGTGGCTGGTGGTTGTTTTGTTGATTATTCTGTTGTTGATGGATCACAATTGGTCGGGGTAGCGATGGACATTGCGGCTGCTATGGTGGCATGAAAGCGTCGAGCCTATCCTCCCATGCCCGCATCTGGAGGTTCATGCTACAAACATATTACATGAGCTCATAGAACTATCGCGCATCAATCCCTACGGGAACCACTGATGGCTCTACCGTGGGGAGAACGGCAGTTATGGTTGTTCTGATGGCTCTGCTGCTAATGATAGTTATGTGGCTGGTGGTTGTTCTACTGGTTGTTTTGTTGATTATTCTGTTGTTGATGCATCACAATTGGTCGGGGTAGCGATGGACATTGCGGCTGCTATGGTGGCATGAAAGCGTTGAGCCTATCCTCCCATGCCCACATCTGGAGGTTCATGCTACAAACATATTACATGAGCTCATAGAACTATCGCGCACCAATCCCCATGGGAACCGCTGATGGCTCTACCGTGGGGAGAGGGGCTTCACTAAGGCGACAATGTGTTTACTTGGGGCAGTGGGAAGTCTGGGTTCGGCATGGTTTCCACTCGAGGGAGAGTCAAGGGCACTGTGAATTGTCCTATTGTGACAGAGGGGACCTTTGGGTTCAATGCAGGCTACTCTTGCCCCTCTGTGACTAGTATCTCGTTGTTGTTGACGTTGGTGTTGCTTGAAGAGGCCATTGAATATGAGTAAAGAAAGAAGGTGAGAACTTGGCTTTTCGTTGTTGGTTCCCACAGACAGTGCCAATTGATGGTGCACGATCTGGTTGCTCCTACCTGGATGGTAGCTCGGACGTTGGTCTGCTTAAGTGGCCAGTCAAACTGCAAGAGAACAGGATCAGAGGACACGGGGTGGCTTACCCGGTGTGGGCACTCCAATGCTTAAGTTAGCAAAGAGATGCGAGCTGAAAAGCTTTGTAAGCAAGAGAGCTAGAGAGCTAATATTGTGCATACCTTATAAAGTTGGAGGTGAAGCCGTCATATAGGCGAGCTTCCGTAGGCCTCACAAAACAAATCCGAGATCCCCGGCCCGCATTACCCAAAGTCCATTTCACACCCAAAGATGGACTTCGTGTGAACTGATAAGTCTTATCGAGTCTGTTCGATCTGGGCGAGATAAGGATAAGGGCATGATCCCGAAAAGGTCGGAGACAGCTAGCTAGCTTCTAGAAGTGGGTTGCGTGGCACCTCTGAAGGTTGGGTCAACACAAGCTGCTCATGCCTTGATCTTGGACGAGGTGCCCAAGGTACCCGAGCTGATCTGGCCTGCTGAGGTGTTTGAAAATGCTGAATTGTCACCTAGTCATCAGGTTGTTCCATGTGACCACATGCTAACAAGTCGGGCCACATTACCCCTCATCAGTTCCACCTCAATTTATAATCCATTAAAATATGTTTTTATATATAAGTAACGTATTTATAATTATATAATTTTCATATTTATTACTATCAATATATTTTTTTAAGATCTATTTTGATTTGCTAATATATCCACGTATCTGAAAAAGTCTCTTATAATTACCTTTTTGATATAACTTGTGCCTATGATACTTTTAACCTTGTGGGTCTTATTAGGTTTTCATAGAAGATGAGAGAGGAAGGATTCTCTCTCTCTCTCTCATATATATATATATATATATATATATATATATATATTAAGAAACTGAAAAACATGACGAACCAAACCAAGAAAGGCAAACCGAAAAATTCAATTAACTGAGTTGAAGCGGCTTTTAGTTAACCTAAGAAAAATCAATGGTTATAATATAATATTATATATATATAATATTTATTTTTATAATATATATTTAAAACATAAAAAACCAAGAAATTGACGAACCAAACCAGTCAAAAACAAGCCAATCAATCAATTAACTGGTTGATTTCGACCCGGTTTCAGTTATAGGTTGTTCAAAAACTGGTGGCACCGGTTCAGTTTCAAAAATTAGCTCATGATTTGATTAACTGATCCGTGAGAACCCCTAGTCGTTAGAGTTTTTAAAGTTAATGTAGATGAATCTGCTACAAGAAGTAATCGGAACCCTCACGGACACGAAATGTTAATACTTCATAACCAGATGAACAATACCTTTTGAAGAAGCCTGAAGAACCTGAAGTATATGAATTTCTGGAAAGTAAGGTCCAAAGTATCAAATACATTTTTGGCAAGAGGTCTTAAACATTGACCTAAATGGAGTTGAGATTTTCTGCCAATAAAATATGTTCCAACCCTTGTATATCAAAAGAAACATTCCAACCCTCTATCAACTTCATCTAACATCACACGTCTCACTATGAGACTGAGTGAGACTGAGACCCACTATAAAAGTGAGACCCGCCATGTATGAGATATGTGGTATAAGATTACATTGGTAGAGGGTTGGAACGTGTTTTATTGGCAGGTGATCCAGATTCACCTAAATAGTTTATATTGGATCAGTAGTTGGAATCGCTTGAGCTATTCTTCGGGTCGCCATGGCGGCTATAGAATTATTGTTGTCTTTTAAGCTGAAGTTGGGAAGAATATTGTAGCTTGATTTTTTTTTCTTATTTTGATAATTCTATAGCCTTATCAAATGTTTTATTAATTAATTATCTTATCTAGTAAAAGGCAAAATAAAATGGCATGTTGCAACTTAAAAAATAAAAAAGATAATTAAACAAAAAATGGCCAAAAACCATTATCCAGGTCAAATAGGTCAACGGTTCAACCACCCAAGTCAGTAGATATCGACTAAATCAACAGTTTTTGACAAAAGGACAGGTCAGGGGTGAAATGGAACTGATAACCTGGACGGTTTCCGGGCCAAATAGTCCAACCATCCAGGTCAACCATAGTTTGAAAACCATGACAATAACTGAGCAAACAGTTAAAATTGGCAAAAAAAAATGGCCATTGCAATGAATGGATTAGAGCGTGGGTGTGGTGTCTTCCACTTGCTGGTTCTTTTCTCTTGAACGTTTAATTATATGTTTTTAATTGCTGTTAGTCTTGTCATGTTCATTGTCACTATTTTTCAATCAAACACTCATTGTCTCCCACGAGTTAGACGTTAGACCATTTTCTAAAACCATCAGTGGGCAAGGCTGCTTCAATTAGAGAAATAAATTGAGCAAATTTGAAAAGAAAAAATTGTTATCAGTACATGGTTTATTGGCAGATAGCAAGCCGCATAATAACATGCTTGTTTGCTACGAATGCCAGGACAGAAAAGACAAGAATTTACAACACATTGAAGGAAAGAAAATTAACAATCTGATAACAGAATGTTTCTTTTAATGTTTTAAATTCCACCATTGCAATGGTGAACGACACCATTGCTGTGTGAGTGAATGTCCTTGCGCTTTAGGTTGACCCTGTTTAAACCCCATATACGAATTGTGCGGTCATCACTCGCAGAAGCCAACATGTGGGGGTCCGCTGGATTCCAGCTCACACAATTAACAGTTCCAGAATGCCCAGGTAAAACCTCCAGAAGTTCTGCAGTCCCCCTGTGCCATATATAGACCTGAAAATAGAAGCATATCAACCACTATTGCAAAGAAATACATGATTATGACCAAAACTGTTCAGTCGAGAAACCTACTCAGCATTGTACAATGAAGAACCACTAAAAGTACCAAGGAAATAGACAACAGTCCTTTTTTGTATACACAGACATGTACAGTCCAATTGTGTGAGTCATTCTCATCATATCGGATTGTCAAAATGTATTGGTCTATTCACTCAATTGCAAATATTTGAATACTTGTTTGACTTCGCTGATGAAATGCAGATCTAAACAACCTTAGTCCCAAACTAGGTAATCATTTATAATGAACAGAGCTTTTATACAGAAATCTCAAATACATTTAAATGATAACATTTAATATGAAATAGGCTGTACAAGCATGTAGCACTTCAACAGGTCCCACTTGCCACAGGGTTCTGGATATCAATTTGGGCATCTGTGCTTCATACTTATTTCTCATTTTTTTTAATCAATAAATGTTTATCATCATCATCATCATCCAAGCCTTATCCCAAATACATGGGATCAGTAACATGAATCCTGTTTTGGCATTCCGTTTATGTTACTCTTAAAAAGATAAATGGAAAAAGTGCCAATTTGGAAGCCTACTGTGCCAAATATTGAGAAAATTGAATATTATAGCTGTTCAATAGAATACCTTTCAGACTAAAAAAAATTCTTGTTTCAAATAGTAGGATATCAATGGTTATGAACATGGATCAAGTCAAACATCTGGATAGGGATAGAATTCATCCACAATAAAAGAGTATGATAGGCTGTCCAACGGTCCATGTCTAACATATCCAAGGCACATAATTATTAGTATTGAGACTCACAAAAAGTCATTGTAGAAATTTGAAAGAGTACAGAAAACCTATTCTATGAGTACATAATTTCACTTATCAAACATATTTTATTTATCGCATCTAAACACAACTCCTCTCATCATAAATACATAGAGAGAGAGAGAGAGGGAGAGGAGGGAAACGGATTCTTTTTTAATTGTTAAGAGAGAGAGAATTTGCTAGTAGGGTTGTTCAGTAAGCTTCTCCAAACAGGTAGGAATTTCCACATTGCAACTTAATTTGGTGCTCAAAAGGAGTTTATTCCTCTCTTCAGTTTCAGGTTTTCCCTTTCGATTTTTATAACTAGAAATTTGGTTAACCAAATTAACCAAATAATATAAAATATGTAATATAATATAATATATATTATATAAATAATATATTACATATTATATTAATATATAATATATATTATATGTTATATATATATAAAATATAGTATATACATTATTAAAATTCAGTTTTAAATTTTAACTGAAATAATCGAAAACCGAACTGAACATTTCGGTTTCGGTTCTTTCGGTTTTCTATAATTTGGTTTCGGATTGGTTTTTATTTTTTAATTTGGTTTTAAAATTTTTTATCTATTCAGTTCGGTTTTTAAGCAAATAAACTGAATGTTCACCCCTTGGTGTGTCTGAATCAGCCAGAGGATCTCTCCACATGGCAGAAATAGATAAGACCAAGTTCCCTACTTTACCCCAATTAGGAAATAGGAACTTTTGTGCACATATATCAAACTGAGTGATGCCCTTATTTGTGCAGTTAAAGGAGAAACAATTAAATACACTCTTGTTGGGACCATCCAGTTGAGGCTGTTGGTACTTGGTAATATTTAGATGTTTACTTTTCAGCAAAAAAACATCGGTCCATCCTGAACTATTAAACATACCTCATCTGGACATGTTTGCAACATGGAACACGTAGGAAGATTCTTTCCAAGTGTGTCAGTGTACCAGCATTCTTCATATAGTCATAGTGATAAATAAAGGAAAAGAAACCATACCTGTGAATCCTCACTCCCACTAGCAATAAAAGTTTGGTTAAATCCACCAAGGCAAGACCTAATAACAAATCTGGTGCGCTTATGGCCTTTGTACTTAGCAATGAGCTTCGGATCACCTTCAATGCTCCAAAGATGAATTTCCTGGTTTAGAAGATTAACCAGCAAGAACTTACTATCTCTCGATAATGAGAACGAAGTTATGGGTTGAGACTCTTCAATCAATCTCTCAACTTTTGCCTCCCTGTCAAGTAGCAGTATAACAGTTTCTCGGCACATGGTTATAATCTGCTTTCCATCATTTGTAATGGCCATGTCTGAAATCTTCAGTATCCGCTGCCCCTTCCAGCATTCCAACTCGTTCCCATCCAAATCCCACATACAAATGCTCTTGTCAGTCATACCAGAGAATACCCATTTCCCATCTGGAGACCATCCACAAGATATCAAACCTTGACCGGCTTTTTCATAAATACGGAGGCATTGACCAGAGCTTACATCCCAACATTTGATAACCTCTTCCATTCCACAGGTGAGGAGTTGCTGGTCATCAGGGCTCCAAGACACAGTCAGAACAGGCTTTTGGTGGCCCTCTAATTTGTGTTTCAAGGACACTCCACCATCCTCGTTGACCTGAAATGCTACTTCTCTTAGGATACCAGGCAGCAAACGAGTGAAACCACATGAACAATAACAGTATACAAGAGCAGTTGTTCCATTCCAAAAATTGATGACAAGAAAAAAAAAATTATCAGAGGGAGCCTCATGCACTGGGCTACCCCCCTTCTACTCTTGATATACCTCCTTGGTCATCATTATTGATCAAAGGAAAAAGGAAAAGATTCTACTAAGTGGGAATACTCCTCAATATATACTTGATGCAGTAATTGAAAGATTGAATATTAGTACCAAGAACATGAGACATTGATCCATGATATTTCACATTATCAGACTGCTCTTCAACTGCAACCAAACCCATAAAAAGAGAAAAAAAAAAGGATAAAACAATGCAAAGAGCAAACCTTGGAAATCTATCTACAAAGTAAAGCCATAATAGCCATTCTTCTATGTTTTCCCTTTCAGCCCGAGAACTCAGGAGCTACTTAAGTCGCACAAAATTTTTACATCTCTTAGGTCTTAGTACTAAATTTAATTTCTTTTTTGAAAGCATACCAGCTACAGAAACCAGACTGGACATTGACCCAGAAAAGGGAGAGGTTCATGGGTCAGAGGTTCAACTGAGGTCGAATCGGAGGTTGAACCGTGATGACATCATATATATAATTATATTCCTCCATAACATATATTCTTTTAGCTTTAGTTTCAATTTTTAATATAAGATTTGAGGTCAAAACAGGGGTTTTTTCACCATTTTAGTGGGACAAGGCGTCTTCAATGCCTTGGGAACACGTAGAGCTTGAAAAGTTACCCAAAATCAGAAAAATATCACCCAAAATCGGATGTCTGAGCAATCGGAGGTCTGAGCACAAAGTTATGGCCTCTAGAAGTTGACATTTGAGCTAAAAAAAAATTCAAAAAAAAAGACTGGTTTTCTAAAACCAGGCCTGGTTCACCGATTTTCAGGTGCAACCAGATAGATCAGCAGTTTTGGCCGGTTTTTTACCCAATCTGGTTTTTGGGCATATGGCTAAATTGGCCAGTGGCCTGGGTCACTGGTCCGGTTCAACCAGTCCAACCAGCTGGTCTGGTCCGGTTTTCTAAACACTGAGCTACCGACATAAAGGAGAAAACTTTCCTTGGCTTTCATCACAATCTCTTGCTCGTTATTTACACAGAATTAGTTGAAAGACTATAAAGTCTAATTATTCAAAATTATTATCCTGGAGGCAATTTCCAAGTCAAACCTGCTTTCTCCAGGAGGAGAATAAAGAGCTAAATAGAATGATCACTGCACAAAACTTCAGGACTAAAATGTAATCAATTCTATCAACAAAAGAGAAACAGTAAACTCCAATCTAACCAGAAGAGTGGTAAATAAATAGAAAGCTAAATGGACAAACATTACCTCCCATATGATTGCTGAACGATCATTACTTGATGAGGCTAAGTACTTCCCATTGTGTGAAAACTGCAAAAACCAGACCTCATCTTGGTGTTCTTGCAATACCTGCTCCATCAGGAAAATTGTATGTATGAATGCAGACAGAGATATGATAAAAGAATATCTTGAACCATCAACATTCAAAATAATCATGTATATATGCAATAGAAGATACGGTATTGAACATTCGTACATACATGCATACAATAAAGTATTGAACATACATACATACATATATTAAAACATATAATAAAGTAAATAAAATTGAATTTAAAGGAAAAAAACAAAGAGAACTTTGTGGCCCAAGCAAAAACAAGCAGTCATCATCCATGGTTATCAAGATGAAACCTAAGCAGGGCCGCAGGCACCTAGGTTCCCACAGAGGGCTGCCTTGCTCATGTGCCTTCTCATGAATATGTTGATTTTTTTTTAATGTTTTGATATGAAATGTATAACATATTTGAAGAAACTTGGTAATTATTAGTAAAAAATGATTGTTCGCTTCTATGAAACCTAGTGAGTTACCTAGGATTCAGATTTTTATTTAAAAAAGAAAGAAAATCCGCCTAGGCACCTAAGAAACAAGGTATTCCCCTGTCACCTAGTTTTGCCTTGGCAAACAACACTTGTATTCCATCAAAAGTGCTCAAAGCTACAACTTTGCACATGATGACGGCATATATAATACTATTTTCAATAGCTGGAGATAAATATAAACTTATAAAACTTTAAAATTACCATTGTGGTTGACTAGGTCGATTAGGCTGACTAGCCATTAGTCAGTCATCCCATGCAACTGTATAGTGAATCCCAAACTGCTAGTTAATGATGCAGTCAGTATGGCCATCATTTAACTATTCATTTACTATAGTCAGCACTTTGGCATCAGTGATAATGGATAAAAGTTATCTTGAAAATTAGAATTTTTCTTAGAAGAGAACTTAACAATTTACCACTTTTAAAAGAGGCTTCTCTAATCCTCTTCTCTTTTCTCAGTAAAAAACCAATTGAATGGAAAAGTAGAAAAAAATAAAGCAAGAAAAGAAATGATGATAGAATACACACAAGTACCTAACATGGTTTTCAGGTTAGCACCTGAAGTGGCTAAACCAACCTGGTTTATATAATAGTTGGCAAGAGAAGTCAAGCCATACTTTTAATTGATCTCAATGGACTTTCATGTAGCTGTCAAGATGGACCAGTTATTGGGTTTTCACAAATTCATCATGTAAACCCTACTCAATTCCATGGGCTTGAAAATATTCTCCAATAAGCCAAATAAATTGTTGAGTTGATACAAGGCCCATAGTATTGAGCCTATTCCAACAAAACCATGAAGGCATGAACTTGAGTCCATTCTAACAAATTTGTCTTAGCTCCAATAGGTCCCATAGGAGATTCTATCAATCAAAGATCTGGTAGAGATTGAAAACATATTTTAAATTTGAATGTGACTCCATTAGGCTCTTCTTTATCCTTAGAACAGGTATTTTGTTAATGACTGATTGAATTGTTGTCACTTTTTTTGTATCAGTAACAGTTTTTTATTGCTTAAAACAGTATTTACAAGAGTAATGTACAAGGAGATACTCATCTGTTGACAAGATGGAAAACTGATTAACCTCAGTTCTGCAGTATGACATGATGGAAAACTGATTGATCTCAGTTTTAAGGTATGAGAAGAGATCACAGAAATCCAAAGATTTTATCCAAAACACTGCTCTTATCTTGATACCAATGTTTTAAAACATGGAAGCGTGACGCAAGGCGTTTCACTACCTAGAGGCATGAGGCATAGTTCAGAACATAAGAGGCGTAAGGCTCCTGAACACAAGGAGGTGTAAGCCTCCTTAAGAGGAGGAGGATGAGGTCATGAGGAAAGAGGAAGGGGAGGAGGAACTCATTTTTCTTTATTTTTAATAAAAAATTTTTATCCCCCAAACACAAAAGAAAAAAGAAAAATTGGGCTGATTGAAAAGGGGCTGAGGATATGGGGGGCGACTGGCCCACTTTCTTTCTCCTTATCTTTTCTTCCCTTCCCTTTCTTTTACAGTCCTTTTCTTTCCTTTTTTTCTTTTCTTCTGTCTTTTTATGAGATGTGCTTGAGGCGCATGAAGCATACACCCATAGACGCCTCGTGAAAAAAAGCGTACACCTCAGAGGTGTCAGCGCTTCTAGCATACGCCTCAAGGAGTTTTGGGGCACCTCACCTGGATGTGTGCCTCCAGGCATATGCCTCCCACGTCTTTTAAGACACTGCATGATACATTCAAGCACTGCTTCCCTATATCTTTTTTGTTCTTTAAAAATTCTTGCATTTTTTTTGATGAATTTCTTGCATTTGTTTCTTCCCAAATAGTCCAAACAATAGCAGCCTTTATGTGTATCTCCAGATTATTCTTCCCCTTCTCCTTCTGTCTCATAGTTGCTGAAGAGAATAAGTTGACCATACAAACCAGAATAGTAGAGGCTTGGGTGTAATGGTAATATCTCAGGCTGTCTAGCACGATAATGTAGGTTCAGGTCTGGCAACGACCACTTTGTGCAAAAAAAAGATGCCAAAGGTTAGGACCACATCCAGTCCACCCCTCTCAAGACCCCAAATAGTCGGGACCAAAAATTGGGTAATAGACTTTTATAAGCCAGAATAATCGTGGTCGTCAAGGCAACACCTAGGCGATAAGGCACTCATGGAGAGAGTCGCCTCATTTAATACCTACCTATTTTGTACATGGCGCTATAAAATAGACACTATTAAACTAAAATATTCTTTTTGCAGGTTTATATATTAGTTTCTTTTTATTATTTTCTTATTTGTTAGGGTTCAATCAACACAAATGTTGGTCTGCAGTGTCTTACCTTCACTTCAAACCATCAACTAATACGCAAGAAAGAATTTAAAATTTTGTCCAATTAATACATTCTTCATTTTAATCATTATATCTTCTTCCACTCATTCTTTTCATCTTTTATTAGGATAAAAACAGGGATCCAGTCCCTAAATTTTCTGAAATTTCTTTTCTTTTTTGAGTATTCTTCTCATGAATATGTTGATTTTCTATGTTTTAATATTATTTTGATACCTAGGCACCTAGGTGATAAGGCACCCCACAATTGCCTAGCCTCACTTTGGCAGCCCTCAGCTTTGTAATTTTTTGTATAGATATGTTCTGAGGTGTAGCCTTCCTTGCATATGCCAGGTTTAATAGGGATATTGCCATATATTTATAATTTATGGAAATTTTGTACTTAATATTTATAGTGAGTCCCATATTTTCTATTTATAGTAAAATTTTGATTTACTATTTTTAGCACTTTTTGGTTTCTTTACATCAAGTTAGTTTTAGAGGTAGTAAAGTGTCATTGGACCTATGAGTTTGACTCAGTTTCAAAGCACTTAGAAGTTGTTTTGGGACCCAGCTCCCCCGAGAATTGAAGCTTTTGCTTGGCTGGTTGCATTAGACAGTGTTCTCACAACAAATCATCTGAAAAGTAGAGGCTTCAGTATGGCTAGCTACTGCTACTTGTGCAAATCTGGAGAGGAAACTGCTTTTCACCTGTTCTTCTCTTGCCATTTAGCAAACTTCATCTGGAGATTCTACTTCTTCCTATTTGGGATTCCCATTTTCCACCCATCCTCAACAGCAGAGATCTTCTCTTTGGCCAAAGTTCAGAGGAAGCAAGAAAGCTGAAATCATTTGGAGCTGCATCCCTTTTGCAGTGTGCTGGCCTCTGGTGGGAAAGGAACAGGAGGGTATTTGAAGGAAAAGAAAGAAATATTGAAGTGATTGTGGAAACCATCTTTCAATAAGAATGGGCATCTTTCAATAAGAATGAGCATTTGAACTGTGGAAACCATCTTTCAATAAGAATGGGCATCTTATTCCTAATATGTTAAAAATTGAAGGATAAAATTGAAGAAGTTATACAAAGAGGGATCCCCCATCAAACTGCTACATGTTTTGATGCCAACTCATTTATTCTTGAATCTTGATTACACTTTTTATAGAAAATAAAATTCAAGAGATCTTCATATGGTATCCATTGACCTAGAGATAACATATGATAGAGTCCCTAGAGATAAGATAGTGGGTTTTGAAAAAGAAAGGAGTTTCAAATAGATATGTGGACCAAATTAAGGGTATGCATGAGAGTGCAACAACTGATGTTAAAACACTTGTGGTACATGTTTGCAGATGAAATAGTATTAATTGATGAAATTAATGAAGGATTAAATGCAAAATTAGGTTTATGAACAAATACCTTAGAAACAAGATGTTCTAGAATAAGTGGGACTCAAACAGAATATATGCAATGTAATTTTAATAATAACAGGAGTGTAAATCAGGGTAACTTAGCATTGGAGACCAAGAAAAAATTCAACTGACCTCTTCCATTACCTTGATTCAATAATCCAACAATGGAGAGAGTGAGGAGAATGTTGCCTATAAAATTAGAGAGAAGGATGGGCAAAATGGAGAGGTGCATCCAGGGTCTAAAAGAAAATTTCTATAATACAGTTGCAAGGCCAGCAATGTTGTATGGAGAAGAGTGTTGGGCAGTCATGAAACAAAATGACCAAAAAATGAATGTTGAGATGGATGAGCGGAAAAACTAAAAAGGACAGGGTCAGATATGAAGTTATTTGAAGTAATCTAGGAGAGCTCCAATAGGTAATGAGAGAAAGAGAGTAAACTGAGATGGTTTGCTCACTTACAGAGACGATCATCTACAGAAAATGTATGCAGTGATCTTTTTTTTGCTAAATAAATTATTTTATTAGATCAAAAAAGTTGAGCTAATGCAAGCAACCCTTGGAGAAGCACGTGTTGCAACCTCTCCCAACAAAGTAGAGAACAAAATCAAGCTACAGTTGTGCCCAATACAAAAGTTCCCTAGCTCCCCTTGCTTAGCTAGACAATCAGCCAAAGCATTTGCTGATCTCCCCACCCATTGTATTCTTACACACATATTCCTTGTCAGCAACTTGAACTTCTTTACTTCATTCCTGAAGCACCACATTATAGACACTGGGTTTTGCAACTAGCTCAGTACCACATTGGAGT